TCATCATCATCATCATCATCATCATCATCATCATCATCATCATCATCATCATCATCGTCATCATCATCATCATCATCATCATCATCAAGCCGGAAGTGGTCATAACCGACAGGACAACGAGCCCCAGGTGTTCCACACTTCGGGATTGGGTATGAATGGCTGATGACGACTAATAAGCCGGAAATGGCTAATCCAGTTTCCCTTGTCTTTATCGGTAATGTTGTTCTGCCTATAGTCCACGCCGATGTGCGGCTGGAGGGGGATGAATGAATGGTAAAGATGATGAAATAAAATAATAACAAGTACAAAAGACCAGTACTTTGCTGACTGTCCATTTGCACTAATCACGAGAGAGTCTTTCACACATGGGGCCGGTCAGGTTGTCTACAGTGGATTGTTCAATGTGATTGTCCAGAATAAAATCAGGTATTTCTTGCGTTGAAAATTTCTTATTTGCCTTATGCAAATGTCTTTTGATAAGCGTGAAAAGATCTTCAATGGGATTCAGATCTGGGCTGTTGGCGGGGATGAAAATCGACTGGAGTCCTCACAGCAGAGAGGCTGGCTGTTGTCTAAACAGTCAGACTACGGCTAAACGCGTTATTAGATTTGTACTTCTTAAGAACGGTGAACAGGTGTTTTGTCGTGTAAAATTACGGTATCCAGTGGTCGTCGGTGCATGTCGCTCTGATCGAAAACTTCCTTCACAATGTTGGCGAACACCTTGCTGTTGATGGTGTCCGCAGTCGACCGCCAGACTGGCCGCTCTCCGAATTCAGCCTCCATCCAAAACATTAACTGTCGACAATTCTTGAAAGTTGCCGTCGAGGCAGTGTGCTCTTTAGGAAAGTTTTTTTCCGCATATGATCATCTGGGTCTACTTCAGTGGCTTGTCTAAAAATAAGACCTCATCACAGAAGTAAATGCTCTTCCAGAATGAGGGCCGGTTATCAATGTATTTCTTAGCAAATAAAAACGTTCTCTAATAAGTTGTCTACTTAAAAGCGGCTTGGTCATGGCGTTTTGTTGATTAAGCTCGAATTCCCGTATCCCTTTCCCAAGTATGTTCAGAAAGAACATCAGCAGGTGTTCGCTGTGAATGGTCTTAATGCGCATATAACGCTGTTTTTAGTGTACGACGAATAAAATCGTTGTCTTGCTTACTTGTGGACCGTTTTGGCCCATACTGCATATTTCTGAGTACGGTTCTATCATTAAGTGTTATCCAAAGAGTAACCTCACTAATATTAAAAATACTTGCTAATGACTCACGCGACAACCCTACCACGGCCAATTTCCGTATCATTTCATAGTCGACTTCGGAAAGACATTGCATGGACATCTTTATCGCACGGCGTGACACAGAAAAGTGGCAACATGTGGCGCGTACTCAATATATATCTGCTTACGTCTATAAATTCTCGTTGCGGTAAAGCAAACTACTGTCAAATAAGTTTATTATTACGTTTTATGGCAAGAAACGTCATAAATTTACAAAAAGCATTTTATAAGCTGCTTTTGGCCTTTTTTTCTTGAAAACAATGCAAGTTCTCAAACCCGCCCTCACCTGATTTTCATGGAAGCGAAATCGCATTTTCCGTTTCCAGACGGGATTTGTTTTGTACTTTTCCTGTTTATATTAATCTTCGTTTACAGCACAATGCACATAAACATAAAATTTTAATCAGCAAATTTCCATAGCGTTGGGAATTATCTGGATATCAAGAAAGGTCAGACTTAGCCAAAATCTGACCTGTTTTCCTTTGATAAAACTGGCTTGGAATAAACATTTCTTCGGTAAATGGCTTTTTATCTTCCAAACCACTTTAATAGACAAAAATAACAATAGCAAATGCATGACATACTTTTCGCTTAAGTTTCGACCAGGATAACTCATGAGTTAGACCACCTATTGTAGCTGTATGCGCACTGTTTGCAAAAGGGCAAAAACGCACTACAGTGAGCTGAACGATGACGGTCAGAACTCCGTTAATTTCAAAAAATCATTCTGACCTGCGGTAAGGGTAGGGTACGTTACCCCCCTGGGTGATTGGTCAAAAGCCTACCTTCTTATCTTACTTAGTTAGGTTTACCTGGCAGTAGGTCGCGAGAGGGATTATGCGTGAAGAGGATTTTGAGCCCTTAAGGTGTTATTGACATTAAATTTGCCCGTTTTTGGTTCAAGGTCAGGGTCTTGATAACGGTTAGAATTGGCGTTTGTTGGGCTATTCTTGGGACTAGGCTTGCCAATCCTAGGCACCGGTTTGGATTTAGTGTTCAGGCTTGCATTAGGGTTTTTGAGCTTGGCTTAAGGCTACGGCTATGACCGAGTTCTCCTTAAATGCCTACGGGTCGGAAATTTCCCAACTGCAGACATGGCCATGGCTGGTGTAAGTTTGTAGGTAACTAAGACTTCCACCAAGGGGAGTTACATACCATATTTTCGCCATCCCTGCCATATCATCGAACGCGGCTGGCGGATTAAAATAAGTCAAAGTTTATTGGCACAGAACCAAAAAATTGGCAAGCGCCTTCATAAATGGACAGCGTTTTCGATGCAGCGTACTGTCTCCTAAGACTGTTTGGGGACCAAGGTCTTCCACAGGGGGGGGGGGCAACCATTCTGCATATGATCATGGAACCTAGGGCCTTTACCAAGAGGTGAAACGACAGACGTCCTCTACAGAGTCCAGTGTGGCTCCTGCAAAGTTGTCTATGTGAGAAAGACCGGTAAACGAATACAGACTCGTGTTAGAGACCACTAGAGTACGGTGAGGTGGATGCACTGATAGCCTCCGGTAGCAAACCGCTGCGTTAACTTTGAATACACATTTAACTTCCAGAATTCCGAAATCTCGGATCGAGGGAATGACCGCTTTGCCGGGAAACAGCTGAACCTTAGCACACGCTGATAATCTCCATCGACGTTTTGCGGCTGTTCCTGCAGCCTAACGAGCCCTCCGGAGGCAGCTTAGTGAACGGAAGAGCAGACCGACAGGTGGGCCAAATGCAAACCCCAAACCAGGAGAACCTGAACTGAACGCACACGTGGACGCACTGTAACTCAGACTGGGTAGGAATAGGAGCCCTCCGTATAAAGAGGGCCTATTGCGACATCTTATTCACGGGGAAACCCTCAACACTACAAACATCAGGCCCAGCTCCGAACAGAAACTGATGAAGTGAGACACCAGTTGGGAAGAGATTCTAGGGCAGAAGCCCAACAGGCAGCCACAGTGAGAAATCCTGTCTAGGTGGGTCGGGTACAACGGGATGGCGGTTTTGAGGGGAAGAACGGGCGGGGCAAACGGCAAAGGACACTAAATTGGCAGATAGAAGCCGAAAAATGTTGAAAGTCGAAGGAAAGTAAATTTTTGTTTTAATGAAGTCAAAAATAGGGGGAGGATGGCGCACAAATAGGGAAAACCGTAGGCAATGACCAATCAAATGAGGGCTGGCCGGGGACGTGATGTGATTTGCCGCCGGGGCGAGTAAACCTGAACCGCCAAGCGGCTAACCAATGGGATCATTGGCGCCGCACTTGAAAGTGGTGTGCGTTAGATAGGAACGATGCGTACGATGCACAAAGGGAACGCGGGCTGTCAGCGGTGTACTGCGGTTGGGTAAGCGTATTTGTATAAAGTGCTTATGACAATTGCATCACTACCCGGCCCCTTACTGACCCCCTCCTCAACCCCTCCCTATTTGTTATATCGGTGATCTCCACGGCATGCACCGTTTAGTACGCATAACGTGAACAATGTTTAAGATACCTGGACGTACTCCAACACCACCGCACCAACCTACAGCAAGTCGGCAAACTCCCGACCTTGGCGGTCGCTGTTTTACGGGATTTGCAAGTATCCATGGTGAGAACAGCTTGTAGGCCTACGTAACCCTTTTAAGTTTAAATTTATCCTCCGTAACCCAAATTGGGGGACCAGGCGTGGAAGTACAGATAGACGAGACGCTCATAAGTCGCGGCAAATAAAACAGGGGACGACCGCGGCGGCAGTTGTGGGTCATATATGTACGATACACGCAGGCGGAAAGCCCTATTTGAACAGATTAACAACCGCAGCTGGGAGTCCATGAGGCCCGTCATAAGGAAGTGGGTGGCTGCTGGTAGTGTTATCGTAACCGGTGAGTGGAAAGGTTGCACCCGCCTACCGTCCGAAGGTTGTAGGCACTGCACTGTGAACCGCCGTAGGGGCTTCGTGAATCCCACAGCGGGACGGCATACGAACGCCATAGAGGCCAACTGGAGCAGATTAAGGGGGAACCCTAATAGCAAGCGAGCTCGCCACAAGCCGGTGTACTTGGGGGGAGGGGGTAGTGGGTCTGGAGCCTGCTCGCGGTTTGGATTGGTTCCCGGGTCGGCTGCGTCGGCGTCGCCAAGGGCGCAAGCGGCCGCGCATAGTTGCACTTGATTATCGATTGGCTTGGTGCCCGATAGTCCTCTGCCTCTTGCCCGTGCCACTTTTTGCTCTCTCATGCTGCACTGCACACGTCGTGTCTCGCTCTACGCTGACAATGCCTACCCTAACTGTCTTTGTTTTTGTGTTCGCTTGTGTCTCCTTTTACGCACAGTTATATTTACTCCTGTTAGTAGGCGTTCATACGGCGTCAAGCCTACCTACTGCGATTGCAGCCGTTACCTACTGACGATGGGAAAGCTGGCGATTGAGGAAAGCCTACAAACGCCAATTGGATAAGCTAACCAATGAGCGCGCAGACGAAGACTGGAAGGTGTGACTCTGTACTTCGTCCACATGCTCTCCATGCCTACCTACAGTGCCTGTGGCCGCTACCGGCCGGTCAAAGAGGGAGCTGTCGATTGAGGAGAGGCAACCATCGACGAGTGGAGAAACTAACCAACGAAGGCGCAGACGGAAGACTGGAAGGTAAGACTCTGTACTTCGTCCACTTACTCTCCATGCCTACCTACAGTGCCTGTGGCTGTTACCCGCTGGTCAAGAGGGAGCTGTCGTTTTAGGAGAGCCAACCGTCGACGAGTGGAGAAACTAACCAGCGAAGGCGCAGACGGAAGACTGGAAGATATTACTCTGTACTTCCTACACTTACCCTCCATGCCTACCTACAGTGCCTGTAGCCGTTACTGTCCCGTCATAGAGGGAGCTGACGATTGTGGAGAGCCAACCATGGACGACTGGGAAAGCCAACCATGAAAGGCACGGACGGAAGACTGGAAGGTAGGACTGTGTACTTCGTCCACTTACTCTCCATGCCTAGCTGTAGTGCCGGTAGCCGTTACTGGCCGGTCATAGAAGGAACTGTCGATTGTGGAGAGCCAACCATGGACGACTGGGAAAGCCAACCATGAAAGGCACTGACGGAAGACTGGAAGGTATGACTGTGTACTTCGGCCACTTAATCTCCTTGCCTAGCTGTAGTGCCGGTAGCCGTTACTGACCGGTCATAGAGGGGAGCTGACGATTGTGGAGAGCCAACCATGGACGATTGGGGAAGCCAACCAATGAAGGTGCGGACAGAAGACTGGAAGGTATGACTGTGTACTTCGTCCACTTACTCTCCATGCCTACCTGCAGTGCCGGTGGCCGTTACTGGCCGGTCAGAGAAGGAGCTGTCGATTGTGGAAAGCCAACCATGGACGATTGGAGGAGCCAACCATGGAAGGCGCGGAGGGAAGACTGGTAGGTATGACTCTGTACTTCCTACACTTACCCTCCATGCCTACCTACAGTGCCTGTAGCCGTTACTGTCCCGTCATAGAGGGAGCTGTCGATTGTGGAGAGCCAACCATGGACGACTGGGAATGCCAACCATGAAAGGCACGGACGGAAGACTGGAAGGTATGACTGTGTACTTCGTCCACTTACTCTCCATGCCTAGCTGTAGTGCCGGTAGCCGTTACTGGCCGGTCATAGAAGGAACTGTCGAGTGTGGAGAGCCAACCATGGACGACTGGGAAAGCCAACCATGAAAGGCACGGACGGAAGACTGGAAGGTATGACTGTGTACTTCGGCCACTTAATCTCCTTGCCTAGCTGTAGTGCCGGTAGCCATTACAGACCGGTCATAGAGGGGAGCTGACGATTGTGGAGAGCCAACCATGGACGATTGGGGAAGCCAACCAATGAAGGTGATGACAGAAGACTGGAAGGTATGACTGTGTACTTCGTCCACTTACTCTCCATGTCTAGCTGTAGTGCCGGTAGCCGTTACTGACCGGTCATAGAAGGAACTGTGGATTATGGAGAACCAACCATGGACGAATGATGAAGGCAACGAACGAAGACCCAGATGGAATACGTAAAGGGAATACTACATACCTCGTTTATTTACTGTCCATGCCTACCTACAGTAAAGGTACCATTGTCTTCTGGTGATTAGGGATTCTCTTCTGAAGATTCATGGGTAGGTGGACAAGGAGTTACCGCATGGAACTGGAAGCGTGTAATCGCGTACCCTTTTTATTGTAAACCAAACTGTTGTATATTACTGTTGTGGCAAACCGGCGGCCCAAGGCAGTCGGGGACGATTTCCCCTACCTCGCCAGTCCCCCTACCTGGCCAGTGTATTGTACCTTTTAATAATTCAGAGTAAATATTTCATATGTCCATGTAGTTGTTAGTGATTACGGTACTGCGAAGCCTCCGGAATGAGGTAAGGTGTGGTAAGCAGTTGAATAACTGTCATCCAAAGGGCTGCGTTAGCTGATAGGTGCCTATGGATCACTAATGGGGGAATTGAACGGACGTTGTCTGTTGGATGGGTGGCTGTCTCTAGCAGTGGTAACGTAGCCATCATATAACGGTAAGGATTGCGACTAATCGACCAACCTTGGAGGCTTGGTACGTAAACATATTTACGTACGTAGAATAATGCAATGACGTCCACTAAGCCTCGTCGATAAACCCTTGTAGGTCAGGAAGGAAGTGATTACGAAAGGCCTTTAGGGCGGGAACTGGAAGATACGTAGAGACTGTCTGAGGCCGCTGCCGGCCACGGTAGACGGTAAGTAGGAATAGCTGTAGCTGGTAACGAGCGACATAACCCACCCGCAGGGAAGGGCATATCAGGTCAACTAACAAAGCCGGTTGGGAGGGACAGTAGACTGTGAAGCAGGCGGAAATGGAAACAGCCGATGAAGGAATTGTGGATTGCGGTAAGTTTGCGTAAAAGGGAGCGGTACTGCGGGAAATGATATCGGCACGGCGTAGATTACAGGCCTTCGGAAGGGGGGAAGGGGAAAGGCGTGGGCCAGGCGGTAGAGGTGTATGTAAATACGGCAGTGGTCTAAGAGCCGAATGCCTGTGGTAGCAGCTACCCCAAAGTGACAGACGTATGTTTGGACGGCGTAGGCTGTAAGCCTTTTAGTTTCGGGGGGGGGAGGGGTGGGTGTTGCAGAATATGCGGAGAGAAGGCCTGCAGGGTCAGGTGTACGCCCGGAATTTGAAGGCGGGCTGGAAACGTTAGTGGACAGCTGGCGTAAGTGGTAGTCCTAATGACAAAATGGAAATGCTGGCAACTCAGGTGGACTCCGGAATGCGTAGGAGGAGAGGCAAGTGGACCATGATTGGAAACCGAGAGATGATGACGGGAAACACTACGTAAACCGAGAAACCGTCAAACGGGCAGTTAACAGCGCAACTGCAACGCATGGGGAACTGCCCAGAGGTGGTTTGGAGTAAGAGAAGTTTGTGTGCGTAAATGCATAGAAGTTGCATTGTATGTTGGACATAAATTTTAGGCAACAGGGAATGGGAACTCCACGTAAACCCTACGGAGGCGGGTTGCTAGGTGTGTTTGAATGTTTCCTTCTAGCCATGGAGGCCACAGGTCTTCCATTACGGCTACCTTACGTACTATTGTTTGTTCAGTAGGTGTGCTTGTGGTATTTTTTTTTGCCGCGGCGGCAAAAAAAATACCACAAGCACACCTACTGAACAAACAATAGTACGTAAGGTAGCCGTAATGGAAGACCTGTGGCCGCTTATTTGGCACCGGTCGATTCTAGTTTGTACAGAACTATTAGGAAGGAGGTTGGCAGGAGTTGACATTCGAACGAGGACGCGTCCGACGCCACCGGAGCGGTGTCCGCGAGTGTGAGACAGTGGGGGCAGTCGTCCGTGCCTTCAGCGAAGTCAGGTCTGAGTCACACTCGAAGATAATTGTCCAGTTTGGACAGCCGGCATTGGCCGAGAACCAGACTGCAAATGTTTAAGCAGTAGGGAGAGCCTCAGCGTTGCAACATGCGCCAGAGGTTGGACCACTACAGGCATTTTGCTAAATTGCTGATTGAAGCGAACAGGCGAGTCCCAAGTAGCAGTTCAGAAGATGAAGATGCGATCACTGTCCCAGTGATCGCATCTTCATCTTCTGATTTGGCTAAATTTCAAGAATGTCAGGGTTAGAGATGGGCTCATTATACAGTGAAAAGGTACCTCTCTGAATTTAACGTAAAGTCATCTGTAATACGGGGTTACTTGTTCCCGTGTTCAACTCCACATCGCATAAAACCCCAGACGTCAACAAAAGCCTCGACATAAAGGGTCGAGCACGCTGATGTTGACCTAGAGGCGACGCCCGAACTCGGTCCCCCCGATGGAGGGCTTGACAGGAGGTTTTAAGATAATAAAGCCCTCCAGAAGAGATGATCACTGCTAATAACGCCAAGCTAGCGAAACCGTCACTCCCTGCGGTGCGGTAAAGCGCCCACGTCTGAGGGTGAGGGTTTGCTTTTTAAACGTTAGAACAATACAACCAAGGTTCTTGGGATTGCCTTTTCTTCTCATTCATACACATTCGAGCGTTTTCGTGTTTGTGGCTAATTCCTTCGTTTATTACCCTCATTGATGTCATTTCCTAGGTTTCTTCTGAGCACTCATTAGTGTGCGGTTTGGGCCTCAGTCCTTGCGGGTACTTCTTACAGAAGTGACCAGCGAATACCCAATTAACTGACTAACGGCTGGCAGTCTCCTCCATTTACAATTATTCATTGACATGTATTATTTATTATCTGAATATATTTTGTGGTCGTTTGGTACTCTCCAGATTCTGCACTCATTAGCTGTCAAATCAACAATGGAGGTTGGTGCTGTTTAAAACCAAGTCGCCCATCTGAATTATTGATTTTTCCCCAGCCATTGCTGTGACTTACTGAAGGAGACTCGGAAGCCCACAGACATGTCTGACGATGAGAGTGCCGATTCTGAGGACGACTTCGGTCATGTTGGTGTAGACGTTCGACATGGTCACCGGATGTGTGACGTTTTTGACTGTGCCCGCACCGGAACCTCTCTGGTGGACCGCTTCACTGGAGCCCTAAAAGACATCCTCTTCATCATGAAGTTTTCTTCTCCGGTGGTCGCGGACTTCTTCGGCGATGTCACAGAGTGCATGATCAAACGTAAAATACGTCAGTTCCTCAAACTCCTTACTGCCTATTGGTGCGGCATTCTGATAAAGTCTCTGCGCTATCCGGAGCCCTCTGTGACCAATCTGCAGTTTTCGGCCACAATTCTGCTAGCTGTCATAGTCCTCTATATGTGCACCTTTCGAGACCTCAGTCGCACTGAGTACATGCTAATTTCCGTAACCTCCACGATACTCAGCCTAGTATACACAGTCTACGAGTCTTGCAGAAGTAGATCCGCGATGGATGGTGCCTTTGCTTACCCCTTTTCACTGGTGATAATGCTCCTAGTTTTTCTACCCATCCATGTTCGCATAACCATACCCCTGATCCTCCTCTTTTGCACCCTCTTCGTCACAACCTCTTCGAGGAAGATGACATTTGCTCAACTGAAGCGTGACATCTATGCAAACACTCTTTATCCCTTGAAGTCCCAACTGGACGCATACAGATTCAGTATCATCCGCCGCGGCATGGTTATATGGGCCAATGATCAGGCGAATTACCTGATGGCGCAAATAATTTGCTGGATACTTGTCATATTCATCGGTTGTTACTTGCGTTTCTGGAACGAACTTCGACGTAGGTCGGCCTTCTCGATCATTGGAAAGAGCGTGAAGGCGAGGAAACGATGCCAGCGAGCCCTGAAGAACCAGAGTGACTGGATCACCGCGATCATGCCCATTCAGGTACGCGACGCCTACATGCAGATGCGACTGCAAAACATTGGATCGGGAAAGATCTGGGTTTATTCTACAGCTTTTCCCGAGGTCAGCATCCTTTTTGCTGATATTGTTGGTTTCACGAAGATGAGTTCCAGCAAGACGGCTACAAAAATCGTCATGCTACTTAATGACCTCTACAACCGCTTTGATGACTTGTCTAACAAAGTCAACTGTGAGAAGATTGGCACTCTCGGGGACTGTTACTATGCGGTTGCCGGCTGTCCTGTGGAGCGTAGTGATCACGCTGCTTGCTGTGTGGAACTGGGCCTTGGAATGTGCCGCATAATCAAAGTCTTCAACCAGGACAATGGAGAGGAGGTGAATATGCGAGTTGGTATTCATACGGGACGTGTTAACGCGGCTATTATCGGTAACAACCGTTTTCGCTATGATGTCTACTCCTCCGACGTCATCATTGCCAACCAGATGGAGACGTATGGCCTGCCCGGAAGAGTACACATCTCGAGACCCACCTACAAGTTAGTGAAATCAATCTACCGCTTTGCTAGGGGTGAACCCCTGACCATTCAAAAAGAAGAGAATTTTGGACTGGCTGGTCTAGAAAAGAAGGATGTAAAATTAAAGACGTATTTTGTGGACCCCCTTTCCTCCACGGTGCGACGTCGCAACGAAAACTATGGAAAAGATCAGGGTGCAACACGTATCCTAACTATAAATGCTGGCGGTGGTGCCGAAGAAAATGCCACATCCGACAGTATGTTGAAAACCCCCCAGAGTGACCTTGACACCATAGATATGCTCTCGACTTCCTCTAGTTTTGGACGTCCTTCGAAGTTTTCCAGCAAGGCGGCTCGTGAGTCCTCCCTCTTCTTCGGCTCAGGTATTCAACAGAAGATTAGGGCAGAGAAGTGGCGTAAAACAAACAAACGCGACATTCGACTGATTGAGGACCTACAGGATGATCCACAGGAGCAGGTCGGTCTCTTCCGCTCAATGCCCCTGAAACCACTGCTGCATCAGTTCAAGGACGACCAGGTGGAGAGCGACTTTAGGGAGTACATGGAGGGCTTTGTGCCCATTGTGACGGTCGAGTCGCCGAAACTCTCTTCCATCTTGGATGCCGCGGTCATCAGTTTCATCAATTTCGTCCTGACCTTTCCAAACCTTATGATTTCTGCTACCGCGGTGGACGGAGATCTGCCTACGCAGATCTTGATAACGGTACTCGTCCTTGCGACAACTGGGCTGCTTAGCATTCTTCTCATCTGGGGCTCAATGCTTCACTCCTCTTCAGAGCACAGCGGCTTGAAGGCGCGTCTGTACCTATTCCTCTCCAAGTGCCTTGTGCGAGAAGTTTTGCTGGCCGCTCTAACAACAGCACCGGTCTGCATTCGCCTACTCCTCACAGACATTAAAGCCATCAAAAAGACCCGAGAGTCCTCCCAGCGGGTCATCCACTTCGAGCTCTCGATGCTTGGCATCCTGGTGCACTCAATGGCTACTGCCTCCTTCTCGTGGACCCGCGGACTCTGTATTGCAGTGTCCGGCCTCCTGATGTGGCTGGAACTGAGGACTTTTCAGGGGGATTTCGATCACACCAACTGTGAATCTCTGCTATGGTATCATAATCTGGACACCCCAGTGGAGGGCTTCCACGAACGTATTGCCTCAATGGTCACCATGATGGCGGTGACCTACTTCATAACTGTGGAGAGTGAGTGGAGCCTGCGGCTGTGGTACTTTGTCTCCCGTGAGGCCGCCATCTCCGTCAATCAGGCCATAGCGGAGAACGAGTCGGCCCAACAGCTGCTGGACAATGTCATTCCCAGGTACATATTTGAGCAGCTGGCTCGCCGAGGCCATACTCACCTCAAGGCGGGCACCTTCTGCTTCGCCACCTCCATACCCGGAGCAGCAGTCTCCTTCGCCTGTCTCACCAACTTCTTCTCCGCCTACTACAGAGAGGACTACAAGGGCGGTGAGGGCTCCTTGAGGCTCCTGAATACTATTATATGCAGCTTTGATGCGCTGATGTCGCAGCCAGAATTCGCAACGGTGGAGAAGATAAAGACCATCAACGACTGCTATATGATAGCCTCCGGATTAAATATGCTGCAGCGTGAGACGGATCCCAGCGGGAGAAAACATGTGCTGGAATTGATGGAGTACTGCTTCGGACTCTACCGCACTCTGGATGACATCAATGACAAGTACATCATCGGGACGGATAAGTTCCTCATGAAGGTGGGCTACTACGTGGGCGACGTGACAGCTGGCATCATCGGTTCAAGAAAACCCATCTATGATATTTGGGGCAACACAGTGAATGTGGCCAGTCGGATGTACTCCACTGGCTACAAGGGCAAAATCCAGGTACCTGAGGAGGTGAAGCTGATGTTGGAGGACAGCTACGACTTTGAGTATCGTGGAACCGTTTTCGTCAAAGGGAAGGGAGACATGCAGACGTACTTTTGTCACCAAAAGGCGAATGGGCCTGGAACCAGCTGATTGGCTTGGCTTCTGCCCCAAATTTTCGAAAAAGATCTAGAAGTTGGTAGAAAAGACTGCACCTAGTCAGTCTCTGTTATAGTTTCGATTGATTACAGTTGCTTTGTGTCGGGTCTCGCCATCAGAATCATTGTTCGGGCTCCCAGGCAGTGGGTTCATGAGCGCAGATCCGGTGCGCATTATTTCTGCGCATACCTAGCTAGCGTCGGGTGGATGGGTTTTGTTGATCTCTCATTTAGTGGCTGGTATTGGACTGACAATTCGTCTGGCTCTGATTGATCCGAAACTTCTCGGACGGGATGTTGACGTGCACAGGTGTGACAACGTGAAATTTCCCAAATCCCAAGTCAGGGAAACACGGCTGGTTGGACGAGTTTTACTGCGACAAGAGAGCGTACAAACGGATCAGCAGGCAGATACAATAACCGGGTGTCAACCGTCCAGGTAGTTAGCGCGGGCGCTGGGTGAATGCATGCGTCTGGGCTATGACCGCCTGCAACCAATCAGAGAGGGGTGCAGCGTTGATTGGGCACCCAGGCAGGGTTGTGAAGGCGGGCAGTAGGCGGAATTGCTGAGCGGTTGCTCTGGCAACCACCGGAGCAGAACGCAACAAATGTTACTTATTTGTGGGATTGGGAAGGCTTTGGTAGTATTGGATACTGATTGCCGACGATTTAACTCTTCCAACTGATTCACAAGGCTTGCTTAATTTGTTTCTGAAATAGCTGAGTTGTCTTAGAATGCAAATACAGCGCACAAGGCATGACTGTTTGCCGATAGAAGCGAACACTCGAGTTCCAGGAAGCAGTTCAGAAGAAGAAGAAGAAGAAGAAGGAGATGCGATCACTGGGACCTCACTCGTGCCCATCATAAGAGACGGTTGCAGATAAAGGTAGTAGAGGCAATAAAGACTACAGTATTTGTAGTACGTAGCTGCCGTAGGGTCACTTGCGTTCTATGATTAACGGCTATCGTGATCACCGCTGGGAGTCTTAATTAAGGCAATGATGCCTAGTCAATCCGCGTCCGAGTCGTTAACTGCCGTGTTGGATGTTGACGTGAAGATTACTCGGCCATTTGGCCCGCTGTCACCAGGATAGTTGAGCGCCCGCGTCCTCCTCACGTGACTGATTCTCCTGCCCAGGGAATGTCTCAGCATTGAATATGGTACCGGGAGGTCATTGAGCCTTAGAACCATGATTCGAGCAGCCCACAGCTCACGCGGTTGTCAACGTTTGCAAGAATTTCGGCTTCTTCAAAGTTAAAAGTAAAACCGGGTTCCGTGGAATGAGCTGCCACCTGAGAGCTGACATCTTTCCTCTTCACCGCTGCTGCGTGCTCAACCATGAGCGTCCGGAGTAATCTCCCAGTTTCTCTGACGTACTTGCTCTGTCCGCAACTGAACTATATTCGGTAAACAACTCCAGACGTTTTCTGCCGTGGTAGCAAGTCTTCCGGTCGCTTGACTTGGCGCCTGATGGTTGCTTCAGGCCTGAGACCAACCCCAACTGCAAGTGGAATGAGAAGGCGGTTGACGGCCTCCGAGTAGTTCCTCATATATGGAAGCGCTCGTCAAAATTTAGGGCCGGTTAAATTTGGTTTCTGGTTTCGTCCGCGTACGCAGTGGTTGACAAAGTTGCGTGGGTAGCCATTGGCTCTCAGTAACCGTCGAAGATATTGCATGACTGTTTACTAACAAATCGGACTCGGCGGCTGGACCGCCGCCGCCGGCGACGACGACGCCCGCTGCTATCCCTCTGGATAGGCCTAGCAACTGTGACTCACGCATCAATTTGTTTACAGTATAGCGCACTTGCGCAGGATCCACCTCACCCCCTCCGCACTCATATACCGCCCCGTCGACAGGAAAGTGCTAGTGGTCCTCCCCAGGTCATGCATGTACGTCAGGCAGAAATCCTTTGGGAAGCAGTGTTTCCTCCGACTAATCTGCCGTTGAGGATTTTTTAAAGTCATGATAATTCTCAAAAACTGATCTCAGAACTGGAAACACCACGGTCGCGAGGCTGTTTCAGTGTTACCCAGGATGGACAGGATACATCCGAAATCCCCTCATAGCGTCCATCACCACCGCCCCCGAAATGACGAGGAATGAGAAATCTCAGTTGATTCTAAAGCTAAATGAGTTGGAGAGTCTTCAAACCAGAGATAGTTACATCTCGGTGAATTCTGGGTCTGCTCTTTTGGAATTAAGAAATCATTTCTAATTTATTAACGATTATTTTCATCCGGTTATTCTCTGAGTAATTCCTTTCCTTGAAGACAAAATAATGTCGCTCGCGTAGTTCTTCTATCCCCACAGGAAGTCTATTGTGTTCGCTCAGACTGGACAGAGGCTCTGAGCAGTTATCAACTACCCTTGTCGATTTTCTCTGCTGCAACCTCTGCAGATTTGTCTCAGTCCATTGAAAGAAAGAGGTGCCCCTAGGACAAGTAGCCGACCTTTCGAATTGCGCCTTCCATTACACCATCCACAATTGTCATCCGCCCTTCTCAGAGTTCAGGTCCCACGTTCATCTGAAGGGTCGCCTCAAAACGCCGCCATACGCCCTTTTCTCACTTTCATACGCGCTCTAGGCCTGTTCTGCAACCAGATCAAGACAAACACTGTTGCTATCACATACATCTGAAGATCACCAATGTCATCTGACGGAGCATAGGCCTGATAAGGTACAATAACAGACACTCGTAATATCCTCAATCATAAGTCAGGGAGACAGGGTTTGTAGGACAGTAGAACCGTTTAATAGAAAGCCCTGGGCAGCGTTGTGTGCCGGCCAGCTATTGGCTTATAATAGCTCATTCCTGTGATTGGGTGGTGTGGGGTCCAAGGCCATTGTTTCAGCCAATCAGCAGGCACGGGAGTGCTAACGGAGGTTTAATATCGCGCAACAAGCTGTGCGCGGTTCGGATTGACACAGTTATTCCTCTCTGGCCGGCAGGGACGCTGAGTCAAGAACAGATGTGTTTGCAGCAGCCTGTTGCTAAAGGCCTATATCACGGTGGGAGTGAACTGCAGGTACATTGGTTCAGGTCCCCTAGATCCTGGGTTGGTACATGGCTAGCTGAACATGCATCATAAAACCAGAAGCGAATGAAGTATGACGATAGTACTGTCTTGTAAACGTAATGCTAGCCATTCAACATCTCCCTACAGGGGTTTGGGCAACGGCATAGTGAAGGACCCCACTTAACTGCCCCTGGACTCCGGATCGAGTCATATGGGAATGTTGGTAGTGGAGGTTTTGCGGGAGTTACGGGTTTTACCAGTCTGCAATCGGCGGGCACCGCTTCCATGCCAAAGAAACGATTTGTGTAATTAATTTCGCCTTAATTCTCCCGTCGTTATCAGTGTTTGTGGAGTGGGTTTTCTACATTCTGCCTCATCGTCTGGCCGCGTTTCGGTCTCCCCTTCTCGCCCAGCAGTCCGGTGCACTAAAGTTTAAGACTGTATCTCTCCTGGACAGTTGGTCTGTTGGTTGCACAGCGCACTAACGTACCGGAAATTATTCCCGTGTGTGAGCAATTGCGGAAACCACTTTGCGCCGGGCAGTCATCCCTCCTCCCCCAACTTCAAGGTCGTTGTTCATATGCCTACCTCATGTTCGCTCACAATATGGAGGTTCCTGGAATAAAAATTACCTAGTTGCTTCGTTTATCGGCGTTTAGATAAGCCTCGGTAGACTTTGCAAAGAAAATTGGGCAAGATCTTATTTCGTAACCGTATCTGTTAGGGGTCAGGGTTAGGGGTTGAGGTTAGGGTGTTAGGGTAAGTCTTGGACTTGTCTACTGCAGGTACGGCTACGAAATAAAATCCGACCGACAAGTGGGTTTGCTGCTAAGAACATGACTACCGTTAATTAGCCTGAGAGGACCATCAACCTCCCAAGTTGCAGTATGAAACACGCTCGCCTCATTTCCTCAGAGTTTCAGTCTACAGCTTCGCGCTTGGTCGCACTGAGAGAAGTAATAGCAACGTTCCTTCAACAAGTTTTTTGCGTCTAATATTTGCCGTAAACACACGACCGATTTCGACATCGCCGTCTGCAGGTTTTCATTTCTTCATGCAGGGGGGGGGGGGGGGGGGGGGAGCAAACCCCTTTTAAAGTCCCATAAGCAATCTCCTAAAAACCGATTTTCGTGCCTACCGATGTGTGCCAGATTCCCTGTCGTGAGTTCTTTTTAACCCTGTACAATCACAGAAAAGGTCTCTATCTTGTATGTCATAGGTTGCTGTCGTGCCTAAGACAAGAGAATGAGTGGGAAAACCACGTCCCGCCTAACACTGACTGTGTAATCGGTAGGATCTCAAACCTAGTGTCTCGGCTGCCATATTTAGTGCCGTCGTATTTGACCAACCCGAGCGTGCTTATTGGTGGAATCAGCAGTGTTCGCCAGCGCTTTCGCCTAGTGTCTTATTGGCTTACACACGGGCGCGCTCATGAGGTTTTCAGACATTCTGTGGCCTACATGCGCAAATGTCATTGAACCGACTTCTTACCTGAGGGTTAACTGGAGCGATGGAGGCGATCTCGAAATGACGCATACAGACCTTCATCCACGTTTCAGAATCCACCAAAAAGGCTAGGTGTTACCGCAATAAACCGTCTCATTGGGTACTGTTTTCATCAAATAGCGCCGGGTAATTTTCCTTAATAAAATAATTACTCCTCGAGGGAGGAGGTACTACTTCAGGGGATTCAAAAGTTTTCGAAATCGTGGCATAGAATATCAAGATTTCCCAACGGTGCCAATGATAAAAACTCACCACCGATTCAATATTGATGGCGCTGTAGACAGGACAGCAGCCTTGAAGCTGACCTACAGTAGGAAGGTTAACTCGTGAAATATCAACTGAAATTCCCAAATGCGTTTTCTTTTCAAAAAGATAAATCAAGTAGAGTTGTTAAACTAATCATCATGCAGCATAATTCTATAATAATTCAGTTATCTCAGGATGCCGGCTTTCGAACGAACTCAGT